ATTTAGAATCTAGAATTTATAAGAAAAGGTTGTGTTTTGATTTCTGCGTAGGCACAAAGTAAATGTAACTATGGAGATTAAACAACATCTGCACATATATGTATTAACTGGTTCGTTCTTTATCTCCCAATGAAAATGGGTATTACAAAAAAATTGAAAAAGATAAAAAGATATTGTAACAGTAAGCAATGATCCTAGAACTAAAAGGAAAAAGTAACAGATATTCAACAATGGCTACTCAACAAAAAGGTTGAATTGACGCAGAAAATTAATCATCAAATCCGTCACATGTGTATCTAACAAATCCAAAAGCTCCATTATCCAATTTGGCCAAAATTTCCATCAAAAGTAATGTAAATATATCACATACTAATCAGGCTGAGGTGTTCGTTAATTAGTGTAACCAGGCTGAGGTGTTCGTTGATTAGTTGGCTATTAGTTAAGCTTAAGCTGCAGCTCATGCATATAAAAGTCCAAACATATAAGTAACTTCTTCACTGCTCTGCACACTCTCTTTCTCTTGATACATTGACAAATCATTTAAATTTCAATAAACCTAATCTAACCTACATGCTATCATTTCACGTAGTTTATAGCAAGTTATTGTGTTAAGAGTTTTAAAGAGCGTGTATAGTAAAAAGCAAGGTGAGGCACCTCGAGGTCCTCGACACTAACTGGCGGGCGTGCCATCAATCTTTTTTTGTTCTTTTGTTCTTTCTTAGAAAAACAAGAGGTATATTGCATAAACCCTGTATCTTTAAAAAAAAACCTCCATTTTGTAAATTTTGTTATCTAATTATTCATATATTGCCATTTTCCATACATAAAACTTTTATTATTGTGATTTTTCTATAGTGCACTTCAAGAAAGAAAGAAAAAACAACACTTGCTTTTCTTTGTCCTTTAAGCCTAAGCTCCAAATGAATATTACATGAACCTTGAAAGATACTAGATTATAGCCATGACTGTGAATTATGTAGGGGGAAAATGATAGCACAAATTCAACCCCATAATCCTTAATTCCTCAACTCTCCAAGTGATGTTGTTATGCTATTGTAAACTCACCTGTAGACCTTCCAGAAAAGAACCCGTAGCGCTTCTTGAAAAACGACTGATGTCGATATAAGAACTGCATGAGGCCACAATATTGTTGAGTTCAGTGGAAGAAAGCCCCTCCATAGTGCAGACAGCAAGATCAAACTAATCAGCCATAACAGGGTGCTGCACGCATGAACAATGATAACCATGAAGCAACCATGATTACTAGTTATCCAACAAAATACAGATAGCTAGCAACGACAAGTTTCCTTCTCAATTAAATTACTCGTGCTCTCCCCCTCAAATACCGGTGAGCAACTCCAAAATTGAACCTAAGAAGCTCAATCAAAATAAGCCCAACTTACTAGCAAAAGAAACTCGATAAACTATAACACAATGCAATCAATATGCGACAGTTTTCGTTCCCTCTACCCATCGTGCAACTTGCATAGCTTACCAAAGTCTCCGCTTGGTCACTTGGAAAACGGAGGGAAAAAAACATCAAAAAAGGGGCGATCAAAATAGAACAAAAGACCACTTCAAGCAATAAAACAGTGTCGAAGCCGAGGGGGATGCCCATGGTTTAGCTCTAAGAATCTGAGAACATGATCTGCGACAGCTTTCATTTCCCGCGCCAATTATTCAACTCGCTTAGCTTACCCAAGTTTCAATTTGATCACTAGGAAAGCGAAGGGAGAAAAACAATAAAAGGACCGATCAAACTAGAACAAGAGACCATTTCAAGCCATAAAACAGCGTCGAAACCGAAGAGGATGCCCATGGTTGAGCTTTCAATCCAACAATCTAAAAACATAATCCGCAACAGCTTTCATTTCCCATGCCAATATTCAACTCCCATAGCTTACCCAAGTTTCAATTTGATGAAACTAGAACAAAAGAGCATTTCAAGGAAAATAATAGACGATTGAGGTATCTGGGGTGGGAAAAAAAGCAGAAATGGAGACGGAAATGGGTATACCTTGAGAGGAGAGTGAGAATCAAGAAGGGCTTGTGGGCAATGACGGAGACGAAGAGGGAGAGAGAAGGGCCCAACGCAATCAAAGTGTAGCCGATCCCTGCTGCTACTGTCATCGCCTTCTTCTTCCTTCGCGCTCGGGCTCAGCCCTGTGGGTGCTGCCGCTGCGACCTTCCCAATTTCGACACCAAAATTTTCATCTCAAACAAATTTCCGTAGTTTAACATGAATCTGCATAATTAACCGTAACTAAATAGCCAATCGGAGGCAAGTGGTTCACTTGATCTCGATCGAAATGTGGATGTCTCAGCAATATGGAAATATTGATACAATAGAAGTTAAAAAAACGTAAAAAATATTTAAATTAATAAAGAAGCATTTTCATATTTCTACCTAGGTTAAAAAATAATTAATATTGATATTATGTATATATCAGTGACATTTTGTGATTTTTTTATATTTTGTTGATTTTTTTTACTATAATGGAAATGTCCATTTACCCCTCATGTCAATGTCGAATCCATTAAAACATTGACATGTCGATGTGGACAGATATTTAGAATCATAGAATTAATGCAAACTAATAATAATTATTATATAATTAATAATATAATGTTTCTCGGGTCTATATGACTATGAGTGCTAAAATATAGGAGAGCATGACTATGACTCTAACTCTGGTTGTTAATAAAAAGTGCAGTCAATCTAATTATAGTTTTAAGGGATAAAACACTTTTTTTCGTTACTTTTCCTATCGAATATATGAGTCTAAATCCGAACTATGATTATATGTGTTATATGACTGTAGTATTCTAGTTTTTTTCCATGTAGTTCATATTATTCGAAAAGTTTCGGTTTGTTTTAACATTTCAAAATAAATGAGTAGGAGATTTGAATCTACCTTATTTCGTAAGTTAATCATTGACTATCTTATCAATTGAACTATGTTAGTATGATAATACATAATAAATAATTTACTATGAACTTTGATAATGAATTGGGCCACCTAAGATGGAAAATATCGAAGTTTGTGTTAATTTCTTGAAATTTTTTACTTTTTTTAATTAGATGGTTTAATTCCTTTGTTGAATTTAATATAACTCGCTAACTAATTATATTGTTGCGTAAGTTACAAACGTGAGTGACTTAACTGAAAAATGTTAAAACACAAGTGATTGAATATGACTTTTTTTTTTTGTAAAAACACTCAAACGTATATTTAGCAGACAAATATACAAAGATAAGATTTAAATACCAGTTTGATTCATATAAACTTTTGAGATTTTACATATTTTACTCGTTGAATGTTCACGTTTTGTTTGTTATAGTTCCTAAACTTTCAAAATATTTATCTCAATCCATGAACGTTTAAAAAATAATCAAAATTATGTTTGTTTTGCTGGTAACAAACTCAAGCATGGGTATTAGAGCCAGATGAGTTGATTGAAAATAGTATTGAGTTCGGATGTATTAAGTCGTTTTATTAAAGTCAATGGACTAAAATATATTTATTGAAATTTAAAAAAATAATCAAATAAATCGAAATTTCAATCATTAAATGTAAAAAAAAACACATCGGGCTTGAATTAAATACTACTATCAACTTAAGCATAAGCATAACTCTACCAGTTAAGATATCTATATTCACTTAAAAAGTCGTAAATTCAAATCCTCACCCAAAATACTACGATCTATGTAATAACCATCTATATTTTTGGTGTTTGATACATGTTTCTTTAAGAAAAAAAAAGTTCGATGACAGCATTTTGTATGTTACGTTGTGTTTGGGGGAGAAAATACCCTGCACACGTGGAGGACAGCTATTGGTGTTTTAAGATGACTCATGAGTTATGCCCAACTCGAACCGTCGAGATTACCACCACTAGCATCGACAGGTGATAAGTATAAGGGCCGAGGTGCGACCTGGTCAAGGTCCGATCTACTGGGACGCTCGGCGGGTCCGATGTGAGCAACTGTCAGCGGCGTGATTATCGGGTGTAACCGTCGGTCCCGAGATTACCCGGATGTAACCGTCGGTCCCGAGATCACCGGGTGTAACCGTCGCGAGATTAACGGGACTACCCCCCATAAGTAGAGGACCTCACTCCACACTCAGGTATGGTTTTTTACCTCGAACTAAACTGGGAATCCGACCTATACTGACTTGATCGTCGGAGTGATCGCCTTTTTGTGCAGGTCCGCCAAAGTGTTCAGATCGGTCCGGAGACCGAGTTCGAGCTGCGATCAGAATAAACACTATTGTGCATATTCTTGCATAAACATTTGGCGGCGTCTGTGGGGATAGACATCCTAAGTCATCCCGATCTAAAAAAAATAATATACGCAAAGATGGTGCATCCAGCAAACTCTGCCAATACGACAGAACAGAGGGGTGTGAACACTGACAATGGCCCTCAGCGAGACCTTGGTGCAAGAATAGTCGAGGATCAGGTCCGAGCAGGGCAAGGGGGAGATCTGCTGCGCAGATCTGCCCGTCATGCGAACCAAGAGCTACCACCTGCTCACCCGAAACCCTTAAAAGCCAACAGAGGCCGAGGAGGGACATCGAGAAAAACCTCCCAAAGGGCCAACCAGGCAGCAGACCCTGAAGCTCTGTCTGCTCTTCAGCGCGAGTTGGATGGTATGCGCCATCGGTTGCGCACAATGGAAGAGATGTACGCCGAGGCAACGCGCGCTAACCGAACTGCATCTCCCTCTATGGCTCCGGGCGCACCCGGTGAAAAGGGAGTTCCATCTATCCAACCTGGCTATCGCGAGCCCATTCCTAACGATGGGGGAGTTGATTACAGCTTGCGAGACAACGATTTGAGAAAGCATCTCACTGAAAAGAAGAAGAGAGCATCTCGGGAGCCGGAAGACTCTCCTTCCTACTCCCGAGAATTCTCCAACTCGGACCTAAAGGCTCAATCAAAATACAAGCCCCTGGCACCAGAAGCTGTGATCACGAGGGAAGAGTTCGACCTGATGAAGCACAAGTTCGATGAGCAGGTCGAGGCGCTTAAGGCCAGGTGCGAGAAGAAAGATTGTTCACTCGACGATGGCGACTTGGGAGAATCGCCATTCACCGCGGACATCCTGGAGGCTCCAATCCCTCCGAAGTTCAAGACTCCCGCCATGAAGCCCTATGACGGGTCTAAGGACCCTAAAGA